CACCACCACCATCATCACCACCATCATTATCACCACCACCACCATCATCATCATCATCATCATCACCACCACCACCACCACCACCATCATCACCATCATCACCACCATCATCACCACCACCACCATGATCACCACCATCATCACCACCACCACCACCGCCACCACCACTACATTCTACTAATGAAGCCTCTATCTCTGTTCAGAGGGACAGCAGGTAATTGGACGGGACAGAAGAGTCTACTGATGACACAATATGAGCACAGGCACTGAGAAGGGTGGCACAGTTTGAAGTACACAGTTTGAAATCACAGTGCCAGTGACCTTTAGAAAGTGATACTAGGTGTACACTTGGCCATATATACCACCGCAAAAAGAAAGAAATAAGAAAAGAGGATGATGATCTATCTTAAGGCCAGCCAATGAGTCTGTTTCCTCTTTAAATAGCAGCATAAATAAACACACACACATTCTTGTCATTTTTTTTTTAGTTCATACACAAACTCCGTATTGTGAGCATTTTCTTTTTAACCCTGTAGACGTAGGACCGGCATTCACAGTGTATGACCAGCTGTGGCAAAACAGGTCTATTTCCTTCCTCCTTACAAACATTGACCACTGGGGTTTTTTTCTGTAATATTTAATTTTCTTTTGGGTGAAACTATTTGTGGAAGAACCAGTTCCCAGCCCCCAGTTTGTGGACGTCGTCACCACTGACATTGGCTGTGTTCTTCACACTGTGTCAACACACTCGGTTTTTTTCTAGTCGCTTCATTTCCCTTGATTTAATCACCCAGGGCCTCCCCTCCTCCATTATCTCTTCAGTGCATCAAAATAGCTGTTGACCCTTGGGTCTTGTATTCAGAAGCAAACAAGAAAAAGAAACTCATTGCCATGGAGTTAGGACCAATTCATAGCTGACCCTCTTGTTGGATTCCCAAGACTCTAAATCTCATGGGAAGAGATTCTTGCTCCCTCAGAGACACTGGTGAATTTAAAGCACTGGAGACTCATGGCCTTTGGGTCCACAGGACAACTCCCTGTGGACACGGTTACCAGAGCTCCCTGTAGATATATCCCGAAAAGATATCTTTATCTTATATTGTTGTTGTTTACTGCTGAGTCTGAACTAACCCATAGCTGACTTTCCGGCAGGTTTTCAGAAGTAGTTGGGAGTAGCAGGGGAGATGGCCCTCTTTGCTATTGTGAACAACATTGTATCAGATCTGTTTTTCGTTTTTGGGGAACTAACATACTGTATTCCAATATTTGAACTGTTTTGTATCCACATTCCCCAGCATCAAGGATTTCAGTAGATTTACATCTTCGTCAACATGTGTTATTATTAGAGTTTTAAGCTGTGGCCGTCCTAACAGGCGTGAACTTGTGGTCTTGATTTGCCTGTCTCTGATGGCATTGCTCGTAATCAGGGCTTAGTGCCTTCCTGAAGGTGGTGCCTCTGCCAGTTCGCATCTATCAGCGGCTCCACAGGGAAAAAAGATGACATTTACTGCTTGGAATCCCAATTGGAGGGTCAGCTACCACCCAGTTCTGATTTGAGGGCAATGAGCTTTTTGAGTTTGATGGTTTATGACTAATTTCTCTCTCCCCCCCCCGCCCCTCCTTTCCCCTCCCCCTTTCCCTTCCTCTCCTCTCTCCCTCTTTCTCTTCCCCTCCTCCTCCACCCCCTCCCCCTTTCCCTCCTTCTCCTCCTCCTGGTCCCCCTTCCCCTCTTCCCCTCCTCTCTCTCTCTCTCTCTTTAAATTTTATACTAGTTTTCTTGCATAGTTCATTCATATACATTGTTTTCCATACTCTTTTTCTTTTATTTAAAATGTATTTGGTGTCCATTTAAAAGTCCAGGAAGCCCTGGTAGCCTAGTGGCAAGAAGCTGCACTACAGTCCCGAAGGCGCGCGGTTTAAGGCCACCAGCCACTCTGTGGGAGAAGGATGGGCAGTCTCCTACCTCCTGTAAAATTAACTGCCTCTGAAAATTAACTGTTGGAGGGTCAGCTGTGGGTCAGTTCCTACTCTATGGTACACACAACAACAACAACAATTAAAAGTCTCTCTGATAAAATGCCTTCTTAAGTCTTTTGGTCATTTTAACCAATAATTGGATTATTTTACTTTTTGAGCTCTTGACCTTTTATATCTGTGTCAATTATTGGGTTCTTGTCAGGTGTATTATTTCTTAGGATCTTCTAGTCAGTAGCATATCTCTTCACTTTTTTTTGGGTGAAGTCTTCCGAGGATCAACAAGTTGTTTTCTTTCTATGAGGTCCCGGGTACTTGTCTTTCACAGTTTATACTTTCATTCCTACATTCAATAATCAGTTGTTGAAAGCATTGGTCCTGATTAGTCTTTGAAGAAACGTGTGTGTGTGTAGTTTACACATCCAAGTCTTTAGTTGTTTTGTATTTGTTTCTGTGTGTGGTTTTGCAGCTTGGATCCAGATTGATTTTTCTGCATGTGGAAATCCTCCTTCCTTAGTCCCTGAAGTTCATTTCCACAGTCAGGTTTCCAACATGTGAGATTGACCCAAAGTTGCAGAGCAAGGCTGATAGTGGACCACAGTGTCTCCTGCTTTTCTCTCTGCTCGGTTAATTTCCTGCAGTCCTGGGTGTTACAGAGAAATGCCTCCCTGAAACCGTGACACCATCTAAGAATCATTCTACCTGTGTGTAATCCTTTCTCTGGTGTCTTAGTGGTAAGAAACTGTGCTGCAGTCCTAAACACATGTGGTTCAAATCCACCGGCTGCTCCACAGGAGAAGGATGGACAGTTTCCTCCCATGTAATTAACTGCCTTTGAAAGCCTGCCAGAGTGTTAGCTGTGGGTCAGTCCCAACTTGAAGGCAGACAGCAGCAACCCTTTCTTTAGCTTTTTGTAACAGCTGTCAGAGGCCTGATACTGTATATCCTTTTGTGACTGACTTATGTCATTTATGAATCGACACAGTGACTACCACGATGGGCTTGTGCATGGCGGGGATCACGAGGATGTTAAGAGAATGGGACAAGGCTCAGATCTGTGGTTCATCGGGTCTCCGTGAGGTGTAGTCAGTTTCGATGGAACCAAACAACAATAGCAGCTGCGTCAGTCATCATCATCTCCGGATTCATCCAAGTTTGGCAGTGTCTCAGGAACTCTTGATCCCTCTACAGTGTTGTATCGTACTCCACTGTGTGAATGTACCGTAGTGTCTTTAGCAGTTCTTCTGTTAATGGAAACATCAGTTGTTTCCTTATCTTTTCTGTTGTAAATAATGTTGCAATATATATGGATGGGGCATATATATCTCTGTGTCACAGCTCTGATTTCTTTGCGATATAGAGCCTAGTGATAAGGGACTGCATTGCTGACATAAAGCCGTGTGTGAGTCCACCAGCTGCCGTGCAGGAGAAGGATGGGGATTAACTGCCTCCGAAAACCCATTGGAGGATTATCTATGAGTCAATTCTGACTTGACAGTACATAACAACAACATATATACATAATAGTGTGATGCTGGATCAAATAGTATTTCTATTTCCAGCTTTCTAAGGAAGCACCACACTGCTTTCCATAGGGTTGGAGGATTTTTGTATTCCCACCAGTGGTGCACGAGGGTCCCAGTCTCTGCTTGTCCTCCACAAGTATTTGTTGTTTACTGTCCTATTGTGACTCGAATCTCAATAAGAGAAAAACAAACAAACAACCCAATTAAAAAAAAAATCACAGAGACCCCACATCAAGTTCTCTGCAGGACTGCATCATTTTGGTTGATTTCCCAAATGTTCAGCCTTTAACTGCCTGCATTCTTAACCTCTTTTCTAGAACTCTCCATTCAGGAAGGTATTTAAAGAGTGTTCCTTCTCTGACGGGTTTCCGCCTCACTCAGGTCTTACTGTGTCCTTGAGTGAAGACATTCTGCTGTTTTCATGGTGTCCCCAGGCAGTGCAAACGCCTGGCTGCTGACTGCAGGGTTGGCAGATTTGAGTCCATGTGGAGGTGCCGTGGAAGAAAGGCCTGGCAGTCTGGTTTCTGGAAAATCAGCCCTTGAAAGGTGTGCAGGGACTGTCCTGCGCTCACCAGTAGGGGCTGGTCATGAAGCAACATGGTGACTGGGTTTCACCAGCTGCTTTTCACCCTAGAGAAAAATTCTCCCCATGTGACGTAGGCTGTGTTGTCAAATGTAACATCCAGAGAGAAACGGGTCCTTTTTGTCTTCCAGTATCCGCAGTGTGATGCAGAAGTACCTCGAGGAGAGGAAGGAAATCACCTTCGACAAGATTTTCCACCAGAAGATTGGTAAGTGCCGCTCACCCCTCCGCCATGCCATCCCTCCAAGAGCTGTCCTGTCCGAGGGGAACACGTGCTGCCTGCCACCGTCGACGCGGCGGGTGGACACAGTCACTGTGAAAGCGAACTCAAGTCTATGTATCAGAGATGTTGAGGATGGCGCAGGGCAGGGCAGGACTCAGATCCATGACTCATGGACAGCACCTCACATCGACAGGCCTGAGCTTATTTAAGTGTGATACTCAGGGCTGAGCAGAGGGAAAGGCCATGGCACCATGCAGACACTCAGCGATGGTGTGCGTCCCTATCACACAGCTTGTGAATCAACACGTGGAAAACAGATGTGTCTGGCTCCATTTTCACGCCATTGAAAGGGTTACCAGAGTCAAAGAGATTCTGCACCCCAAAACTCTTTATATTTGCCCCTGTAACAGTGGCCATCAGCACACCGCCCTGGGATGAGGTCCCCAGCTTTGCCGCTACTCATTGGCTCCTGTGCTCCTAGGCCTTGAGCACGAGCCTTAAGAACCTCCTCCGATTGGCTGTCTCGGTCCAAGGGGCGGGGCTGGATTGCTTAATCATGTCAGTATTCACACACTTGTGGGTTCTGCTCGTGGTCCGTGATGATCAAAACCACATCAGCTGGTCTTACTCCTGTGATCCATTCGGAATCTCTCCTTTTGACACACCCAGTGGGCTTCTCTCCTTTTAACGTCCATCTAGGTGGGTGCCTGTATGGCCAGGGAGGGGACCTGACCTGGCTGTTCCCAGTACCCAGCTGGTTCGCCCAGTGCTTGTCTTGTCTAGGCAGATGTTCTCTGTGGTCGTCAGGTGCGGTTGAGTCCCTTTCAACTCCTCATGACCCCATGTGACAGAGAACTGCCTTTTGGGGACCCTGAGAACTGGCAGAGGGCCTTATGTGCTGGGCAGCTGACCACAAGGTCAGAAGCGCGAATCCAGCAGATGCTTTGCTGGAAAAAGATGAACAGTCTCCTTCCATGAAGTTGTTGTTGTTGTTAGGTGCCGTCAGTGTGGCCCAGATTCATACTGCACCTGTCTGTGTGTGGCAGTCAGCCCGAGCCTGCTTCATCCCCACCGTCTCTGCGTGTGCTCAGGGCCCCCTCACAATCACTGTGCTATTCCTGTTCTGTACCTGAGGGTCTGAACCCACCCATCACTTACCCAGCGGGCTTTCAGAAGCCGTAAACCACACGGGAGGAGATCGCCCGTCCTTCACCACGCTGACTCACCAACAGCCTTGGAAACTCAGTAGATGATCACTATTAGTTGGAACCGACTTGGTGGCAATGAACTTGTGGGTGGTTGTGTTGCTGTATTTTATTTTAAAAGACGTTTCTTAGGTTGTAATCTTCATGACATTAATCATAAGCATTTTCTCCCATGTAGCCACTGCTGGGTTAGAACCGCTGACCTGTTGGGTACAACTGACTGCTTCACCACTGTGCCATGGGGTCTCTGTACTTACCCAGCAGTGAACATAAGGGGACTCTTGGGAGGAGTGCTGGGGCTTCCTCAGAACACCAGGGGAACTGAGCTGTTAGGTGCCCATCTGCTTGGAGTTGGGAGTTTGTTTAGAAGGCCCATCAGCAGGCTTCAGTAAGACCTTTATTTCTTTTGTATTCCCATAAAACAGACAACCTCTGGAAATTCTCTCAACAAGATTGTACTCCGAGCAGCGGTGGGCTTGATTTGGTGGCCATCTCTCCATGTGGTCAGTCTCTCCACCAGGCAGGGACAGATGGGTGGGCTTTTACATGACAAGTGTAAGAAAATTGGACATGCATCTCCTTTCTTTTTCTTTTTTTAATTGAGATTTTATTGTACATTTATAAAAAACTTGGATTTGTGTGTCTCCTTTTTTTTTTTTGCGTCTCCTTTCTTGACACTTTGCTCTCTTCCCGTGATTACTCAGATGGTTTCCCCAAGGAAGGATGTAATGCATCTTCACTTTGACATGATTTTATTGCTGGAGGAAATGATTAACATCCTTAGAAATTAAGGTCTGCTTCGCGTTCCCTGGAACTCTATTTCTGGAGGTAATTCTGTTGCCACGATGAAGAGGTGTAGGCTGGTAGATCTGGTGGGGACTGAGTGTTTGGGGTGAGGCTGGGTTCTCCCTTCCCTGCAGACAGGAGAGCCGAGGTGGCTGGCTCTGGGTTCCATTTCTCCTTCTCTACCATCGTGATTCCCAGTGTCTCCAGAGAGAACACTGTGAATGGAAAATAGAAGGCGGAGGGGGACCGAGGAAGAACTGGAGACGTTTTGTAGAAAAATGGCATCCCTTTTGTTCAAGTATCTTATTTAATTATTGGATTGATGGTGGCATGAACTCAGATGATAGTTTATAAGTTTAGAGCAATAGTAAATGTTGCCTATGGGTGGCAAGAAGCTATGCTGCAGTCCTAAAAGGATCCAAAAGACATAAAAGGTCTTTTGACCTGTGTAAGGTTCTTTTACCTGATTGCTCATGTGGTTGTCGTGTACCGTTGAGTCGGAACCGACCCATAGCTCTGACCCTCTGGCGGGTTTTCAGAGTTAGTAATCGCACGGGAGGAGACTGACCATCCTTCTCCCACAGAGCAGCTGATGGCCTTGAACCACGTGCCCTCAGGATTGCCACCAGAGCTCCCGATTTGCTCATAGCTGTCCAAATTTAGTACGACAGTACAAGTCGCCTATGTAACGTCTTTTGAACCTGATGACTCACAGTGTCTAAGTTTCAGGTGATAGTAAAAGCTGCCAATATAAGAACCTTTTAACCTGATTGGTTAGTTAGCTAGCTGTGAGGCGATTATTCTAGGAACTAAGGATTTGCAATCCTTGACATAAAAACCTTGACATAAAAAAAAAAAACCCCTGAGAAAATTACTTGAAGATTTCACCATCAGCAAAGAAGCCTACATCAAACCCGAAAGTTCTGACAGACATCCTAGGTAAGAGAGCAGAGAACAAACAGCCTGATGAGATGCCTGGCTGCTTCCCTCCTGGACTCTCCCGCCCTGCCTCCCATTCCTTCCTTCCTCTGCACATCCCCCTAAAGGGCCTCCTTGGTCTTCAGATGAGAGAAAGCAGGCGATATGTTCATACTACCACCTTCTTTCTGTCAGATCTTCGATGATGGAATAAAGTGCGTTTAAAAGAGTCTATAACACACACTGTATATGAATTTTGTATGCAAACCAGTATAAAATAAAAAAGTGGGGGGAAAGATTCAATCCACGTCTCTACTCAGGCTGCCCAGTGTTCTCGCGTTACAGAGTGCAAAGTGGTGGAGTAACAAAAGGAGGAACACAGTGGGCAGCTCTAAAGGCAGGAGCTTGTGTTCTCAGTTCAGGTGGTTGGGAGTTCAAATACAGGGCACAGCTCTGGGGTGAGGCCTTCTAGTCTCCTCAGCTTCAGCAGCTGCGTTCATCCTGGGTGTCCTGGGACCCGTGAGTGGGTCTGTTTTGCCTGTCTGTCTTCGTCTTCATGGACTGCCTTCCTGCTACGTGTGTCTCAGCTTCTATGCTCAGAGATGACTAGGTTTGGGTCCCATTCTACTCTGATGTCCCCTCACTGATATGACAAAAGAGGACCTCTGTTTGCTTTAGTCAGAGAGAGAGAGAGAGAGAGAGAGAGAGAGAGAGAAGAAAACTTTGGTAAGAGAACCAAAGAAGAAAGAATATTAAGGCAAGGAAAAAAGAAGGATTTCTTTATGAAAGTGAAAAAAGTTATTCCTATAACATAGGACTACTTATTAAAAAAAAGTTATACAGGTGTCCAGGTCTTTTGTTCAGAAGGTTTCTTTGAGTCGGCTACAACTCGACGACACTAAATAGTTAAGGGTCCAGTTCTTGGGAAATGACATCATCATGCTGAGAGAAGTGGAAAGTCAGAGAAGAAAAAAAGACCCTCAAGACAATGGATTGATATGGTGACTGTAGCAGTGGGCTCAAGCGTGTCTCGGATTGTGGGGATGCTGTAGGATGGGGCAAGGGTTAGATCTGTTGTTCACAGCATCGCTGTGAGTCACAGGGAGAGCTCTGCGGACCTCGTGAATAGAAAGTTATGATACCAAGCCAGAGGTGGGTGATTTTAAACTGTGGCCCTCAGGCCTGGTTTTAATTTTTTGGTCAAACATTCTTCTAAGTGGTATAGCACTGGTCTGTCCATTTGCTGTACAGAGGTAACTCGTGGTTGTTGTGATGCTAAACACTGTGACACTGATGTGTCAAATGCGATAACGGTTACCCATGGTGGACAGTGCTTGGTTGGACTCCCCGATTAAAACAAGCTTGGAAGCAGGAGTGGCATCCATTTCCGAAACGGCTTGCCTCTGAAAACTCTGTGAACTTAGAGAAACGATGAAAAGTCACACAAGTGTTCAGGTTTCTTTGTTCATAAGGTCACTACGAGTCGTCTACAACTCAACGGCACTTCACAACACATAATATATCTACCATAACATCTGCACATTGGAAGTTGAGTGGCTTTTAGTGTATTCAGAGTTGCATAACCTCATCACAACCTGATTTTAGATCAGGGTTTTCAGCACAGTGAATGAAAATCCTGTGCTTATTTAAATGTCCTTTTTTATCCCCTGAGTCCCCTAACCCCTGGAAACCAGGCCTGTATTTTTAGACAATCAGTCTGCACTTTTTACTCAAATAACATTTCTTGTTTGTTTGCCAACTGCTCCTCCTTAGGTATTTTCCTAAGTACCAGTTTGCCAGTTTATTTTATATGTTGCTATAAAAATTAACATTAGTGTATTTACAAAAATATGTCCCAGGACTAGGGAGTGGTTGGCAAATGAACCTCAAAGGTGTGTGCATAAAAATACCGCAGCCCACTTTCTATCTCTCTGCATTGGCTTCTCCTGGACATTTCACGTGGATGGAGCCATGGAAGAGGTGGTCTTTTGCAACTAACTTCTTTGAACTAAGGCTAATGCTTTTAAGAAAACAGAAATTCTTACCACTGGACCAATAGGCAAAATCATGATCAGT